GTAAAGCCATCTTCAAAGTTACGTAAGGTTGCTTAGGGCCATGTCCAGTTGGGTTTTGAATATCTCCAGGGATACAGACTCCCCAGCCGCCCTGAGCATCCGCTCCAATGTTTGACTACCCTCATTGTGAGTAATTTTTTTCTTTATAGCTCATTGATATTTCTCTTGCTACAGTTGTATCTGTTGCCTTGTATCCTGTGGTGTACCTCTGGGAGGAGGCTGGCTCCCTTTTCCTTCTAACCACCCTTCATGTGGTTGAGAACAGCAGTCAGCTTATTGTCCCCACCCCCACCCCTGCCATCCTTAGCACACTTTTCTTCAGGCTGAACAAGGCCAGCTCTTCCAGCCTTTCCTCGTACCTAATATCATCTATTCTGCTATCCATCTTGGTAGCCCTCTGCTAACCTTCCTCCACTTTGTCAACAGCTTTCTTGTATTGGGAAGCCTAAAACCAGGAAACCATGAACCAGTATATGCTAGGGGCCACCCAGCTGGAAAGCAGCTTGACACAAAAGGATCTGGGCATCCTGATGGACACCAAGTTGAACACGAGCCAGCAATGTGCCCTTGCCACAAAGGCGGCAAATTATATCCTGGGCTGCATTAGGCAAAGCATTGCCAGCAGGTGATCCTTCCCCTTTATTCAGCAGCGGTAAGGCCACACCTGGAGTACTGTGTCCAGTACAAGAAAGACATGGACATACTGGAGAGAGTCCAGTGAAGGGCCACAAGGATGATGAAGGGACCAGAGCACCTCATATGTGAGGAAAGGTTGAGAAAGCTGGGGCTGTTTAGCCTAGAGAAGAGACGGCTTGGGGGGATCTTATTAATGTATATCGATACCTGAAGGGAGGGTGCAGAAAGGATGGATGGAGCCAGGCTCTTTTCAGCGGTGCCCAGTGGCAGGACCAGAGGCAATGGGCACAGACTGAACACAGGAGATTCCATTTGAACATAAAGAAACACTTTTTTACCGTGAGGTTAACTGAACACTGGAATAGGTTGCCCAGGGACTGTGTGGAGTCTCTCTCCTTAGAGATATTAAAAAACCATCTGGACATGGTCCTGCGCAACTGGCTCTAGGTGGCCCTGCTTGAGCAGGGGGGTTTGGACCAGATGACCTCCAGAGGTCCCTTCCAACCTCAACCATTCTGTGATTCTGTGAAAACTGGACTCAGTACTCCAGATACAGTGTCACAAGTGCTGACTGGGGGGGAATAATTGTTTCCATTGACCTGTTGGCTGCACTTTTACTACTGCATCCCTGTATGTGTTGAGCCACCATTGCTGCAAAGGTGCTGCTGTCTTTATTCATCTTGTTGCCTGCCAGAACTCCCAAGTCATTTTCAGCCAAGCTGCTTTCTAGATAGTCATCCTCAGCCTGTATTGGTGGATAGGGTTGTTCCATCCCAGGTGCAAGATCCTTCATTTGCCTTTGCTGAATTTCATGAGGTTCCTGTCAGCACATTTCCCCAGCCTGTTGAGGTCCCCCTGACTGGCACATCAACTGTGCCATCTCCCCCCATTGTGGTGTCATCTGCAAGCTTGCTGAGGGTGCGCACTGCCCTGTTGTCCCGCTCATTAATGACAGTGTTAAAGGCTATTTCCCCAAGCCCTGACCCCGAGGAACACCACTTATAACTGCCCACCAGTCAGACTTCAAATCACTGACCACCACCCTTTAAGCCTGACAGTCCAACCAATCTCCTGTTTACTGCGTGGCACACTCATTCAGTTTGCAGCGTTCCAGTTTGGCTACAAAGATACTTATGTAAAGGCCATGTGGAAACCCTTGCTAAAGTAAAAAAAAACCTCATCTTCTGCTGTCCCCTTGTCCATGCAGCCAGCCTTCTCTTTGTAGAAGGTAATCCGATTGGGTCAAGCATGGTTTGCCCGTGGTAAATCCCTGCTGTCTGATCCCAGTTTTCTTTCTGTTATTCCTGTGCCTGGAAATGGCTTCCAGGAAGATTTGCTCCATAATTTTCCCTCAGACTGAGGTAAGGCTGACTTGCTGTAGTTCCCTAGTTGATCCTTTTGCTCTTTTTAAAGATGAGCCCAACATTTTAGTTATAAAAACCAATTACAACCCAAAGTAATTGCAGGAACATCTACTTCATATAAGGATTATCATCAGCTCGCTCTCTTGCTGTTGTTACTGCTGACTGGCTTTTTTAGAACAGAAGTAATTTATCGCCTTGTAAAATCCTCTGCAAAGATGTGATGCCAAATCAATTCATAACTATGAGGCTTGGGAACAATAGTGTCTAATGAATGGCTGCCTGAGCAATAAGTAATATCAGGAGAATTTTCTTCAGGCAAGCAAAATGGTTTAATGTAAAGTGGTACAATGGAGTGACTCGATGCTAATGGACTATCATTGCTTCTATTTCTCTTTGTAGTTTTATGTGGTCTTTTGAGAAGATTCACAGAAGCATTGCACACATCTTCCAGGGGGAGCTGGTGGCCAGCTTCGACGAAGAATTCCGAATTTTGTTTGCACAGTCAGAACCTCTTGTTCCTCCAGCCAATGTCTTGGCAAAGGCAGAGAACACATTTGCCATGACTCCCTTTGGCAATAACATGCCTTTCTTTCCAAAAAAAGCACCCCTGATGTTCCAGAGGGATGACAATCTTTTTCCCTCCTTTATGGACAGAGTTGATCCAGACAGGTACTTCCTGTCAAATTTCAGGCGGGATGACATGTTGCGCCATACTGTGGAGGGGTCGGCCATGCGAATGTATAAAAAGGTAGAAATGGAGAATTCTCAGATGGATCCCGTCAGGGGTTTTCTCCGTTCCAAGCAGTTGGAGTTGGATGCTTTTAAGAGACACAGTTTTGCAGAAGGAACATTTGAAAATTTTGCTTCTTCTAAACAGTATGCCAGGCAGATGTTTATGAACAATATGGATGAATTTAAAATCCAGTCTAGTCATTTTCAGAAGGATCAATTCTACCAGTACCAGTTTGAACATCCCCATCTTTCTGGCAGGCCTCAGGGACTCTTTGAGAGAATCCGAGGTGGTAGGCCAGGATTCAATGAACTGGAAGACTATGGAGAGGGACCCAGATACCCTGAACTTGAATCCAATTTTCCACAGGAGGGTTTCCCCTTGAGGCTGGATTATGTACCTTCAAATTCTTCCAGGGAAGTGAGACATGGCTCTGATCAGCTGAATCCTGCGGGCAATGGCCCGATGGGAATGATGTTAAGAAGGCAGAATATAGGACAGAAATTTATTTGCCAGACTTCTCCTACACAGAAACAAAGCCTAGAACAACGCCTGTTCTTCCAAGACAAAGATGAGGACCAAGATGACGACAAGAACACACAGGAAAATAGAACAGGTTTACGTAACTGGAGGATTTCTTCATACCTTAGTGCGTACCAGTCCGAACCAGAAGAAGGTCTTCCAATGCCTATGGAATCAGAGGCATATAATGATGTTCTTGGGGATACCCTCACAAAGCACCCCACTGACCTCATCCCAGCATTCAAATCCCCTATGTCTTTTAATAGCAAGTCACTGGGAATTGAAAGTGCCAAAGAATTTGCAGATCCTGATAGAGTAGGTGAAGAAACCCTTATAACGAAACAAGATGCCTTTAGGTCCAGAATAAATCCTTTGATCCAGAGGAGCTCAAGACTCAGGTCCTCTCTGATTTTCAGTGCTGCCAAGTTAGATCAGCCTAACACCACAATAGAAAAGGTTCAGATGATCCAAAAAGAACAAATGTCCAGTGAATTGACAAAAGACAATGAAACTATAAAGACAGCCACCTCATCTAAAGTGGCAGAACTTTTAGAGAAGTACAAAGCTGTGGGCAAAGACACAGAGCGAGCTACAGTCACTCATACAAAAGCTGTTTCCAGTTATCTGCAGGAAGAATCACAGAACACAGAGAAGAAATGTACCAAATCCGTGCAATATAAGATTCTGGAGAGTAGGATACTAGACTCCAAAGACTCCTGCAGTACTTACAAAGTACATGGAGAGGCTGACAGACCATTTGGAATGGCCTCATCAACCCCCCAGCTTGTTGACGCACTGAGTAAAGATCCCCTAGCACATATTAGCACTAAGGTGGACAAATTATCATCTCGGTTTTACCCCATAGAGAATAAACCTGCTCTTCCAGAGAAGGAGAGTCTTATATTTGTAGGAGATACTCAGAAATTGACTCTTCCAGAGAAGAAGGAAAGAGCGACATTCAAAGAAGACATTTGGTTCTTCCAGAGAAGAAGGAAAGAGTGACATTCAAAGAAGACACTCAAAAATCAGTCAATACAGAACTGAAGAAACCACAGATTAGGACAAGTACCACATCAGTTCTTGAAAACTTATCTAGAAGTCAAGGATCTGACAGCTCTCTCAATAAATCTGAGGAAGACTGTTCAAAACAAGAACAAAATCCAATGGAATTTTTAAGAAAAGGGTCACTACGGCTGAAGCAGCTTTTGAACCCAAAAGGCGAAAAGAAATTGGAGGAGGAATCCACTTCTGAGAGTGGAAAATCTGACAAGCAGGCTGTGATTCTCAAACGATCTTCCATAGGGGACTGTCAGGAAATGATGGAGGAAGAAAAAACCCATAAATTTGCAACACCACTTCCTCCCAAAAGCAGCCAGCCAACACAGGGGAGATTTCCTTCATCCACAGCTAACATCCTGTACAGCAGCAACCTCCGTGATGATACCAAGGTGATTTTGGAACAAATCTCTGCAAACAGTCAGAAGAACAGAGCTGAACTGGCCAAGCAACTACCATCCACTAGTAATCCTGATCTTTCTAAGTCAACTGCAAGTTTGGAAAGGAAAGGTGAGAAGGAGAAGAGCTGTAACATCCACAGGTCAGAGAGTTTTGGGAGCCAGAAACGAAATCTTCAGCGGCAACCATCAGAGGATAGAGATACCCTTCTGAAAAAAATGGAGAATATGCGGAAGGAGAAGCGAGTCTACAGTAGATTTGAGGTCTTCTGCAAAAAGGATGAACATACAAGTCAAAGTGAAGAGGAATATGACACAGATGCCAAAGACAAGAAGATGGGAAAATTCATGCCCAAAATCCTGGGGACCTTCAAGACCAAAAAATGATCACAGAAATACTATTTAATTCCATATAATCACTGACTGTCAAAGGGGAATGAGGAAGTAACTTGTTTATGATAGCTGTAAGCACCACAGGCAATACTCTTCATGGTTAGTGAGTGGAAGTGTGTTCAGCATTAGACTCCTACGGCACAATCTGCCCAATAAAGTAATGTGGTATCAGGCAACCTTATCACAGTATGTTTCAAATAAAATTGTTAAATGGCCAAGATGCTTAAAACAAAGAAATAAATAAGAGTCTCTTTATGTTATGCTCAGGGAATATTTTCAGCAGACAAAGCAATTCCACTTTCAGAAGAAAAGAATAAAAAATAGAAAATTCAATACTTGAGTTCAGTCCAGGAAAGAAAAATACACACAGACACACACACACACATGCATGAACTGGAAAAAGTGTTTAAAAACCAATTGTTTCTCAGGTACAGTTATCTTTTCTTTGTATCTAATAATGAATCAAATATGGGAGGCACCTTTTTGAAGGTTTACAGGGGAAAAAAATACTGTAAACAACTTTTTGCCCTTATGTATAGTTATGGTCTTGTCTAGCAGTACATGCTCAGCTTTCCTATTTACCATTTTCTAAGCCTATTGGTTCTGTTTTGTTATTAATTTGTTTCCTTATGTATAATGGAAGTACTGCTTTAGGGGGTGAGCTGAAAGAAGCAGCTCAAGGCCATAGAAAAGGAAATTGCCATGCTGTTAATGGAGAAAGCCCTGGTTTTAGAACTCCTTTGCAGTTGAGTCGGGAGTTTACTTAAGCATCTAAAATGCTGTCTTGGCCAAGTAGTAGCTTCCTTGACAACGTAACTCCAATTCATTAAGTGACTGTGGGGAGAAGGGGACGTTCATTTGTTAGCACATCTTTCCACGTAAAGACAAGGAAAGAAGGGACTCATAACAATGGAAGGAATAAGGCTGCTGGAATTTTCAAGCTCAGAATGTTTTCTCTTATGTAACTTTCTTGTAGTAGTTTGGTACCAAGCTTAACCATGCAGCTTTAAAACAGTCCAGATTAGCCTGTAGGTTCATGCTGTTGTGTTACATTGTCTTGCAGGTCAGAAGGTAGAGACAGAGGCTATCAAGGCTGTACATAATGTTTAGTTACTTAGCTGTTTGGTTTTTTTCCTCAGCTTGGACTGTCTCTGCTTGGCATCCAGCAGGATTGCCAAATTCGGATTTTTTTTTTTCCTGATCTTTGTGCCATAGTCTAAAGAGATGACAGGGAAGAATGCTCTCACATGGAACTAGGCTACCGAATTTCCCATTCCCATTAGCTTGGGTTCCTGATTACCAACTTGTGACACTAGCTGCAAGCTCAGCAAACCAGTTCAGGTACATGGCTGACAGATGGAGGCAAGAGGCTGCATCGGTTCCTGAAAGTAACTTTAGTAGGGTCTTTAAAACTTCAGGGTTTTTTTAGGATGCCAGCTCCCATGGTAGCAGGCTTTATATAATTTACATATCTGTAACAATTAATGATTATTCTACTGTTCGTTGAAAACCTTGGGAAATGAATGTGCAGAAAGATAGATTGTCTGATCTGAAAAAAAAAATTAAGCTGATTTCCATATTAATACAGATGGTGGTAAAAATCTGCAAGAATCAAGAGGAATTATCATTTTAACATGAGCAGGTAAGCCTAGAAATAAAGTTAAGAGAGGAAAAAAGGAAAAAAAAAAAGATGGAAGAAGCGACCAAAACTGGAAAAAAAGTGAAATGGGTTTCTTATGCTTATTCCATATTGTATAAATGTATACCATTTCAGATACAACCCGTAATCTGTTACATACGTACAAATTCATAAATGAATGATGTATGTATACTTATTTTGTCTGCTCTTAGTAATGAATCAGATCCAGTTATTGGTGGGTCCCAAAATGAACTGTAGCGATCAATACAGTTGTTCTCTGCCAGATGATCCAGATAGAGATTATTTTACTCTAGAGGAAGACAGGCTATGTAGATATATATCCTATATATCCTAGATATATATGCTAGCTCTATTTTGTGTAATTCTTACATTATTCCATACCTCCCCAGCCTTTCCCAAATCTACCTGCTCTAGCATCATTCTGTTACAGACAAGTTAGAAATATCTCTATAGTCACAGATTACATTAACATTTTAGAATTTTGCTGTATTTGTTTAGATTTTTAGAATTCTATCTTGCTCAGCATGGTGCGTTCAATGTAAAAGTATGTTCCTGACCAGAACTAGAATGACTCATCTCTTTTAGTGATGCGTTGATTACTAGATGTTGTAGGTGTATACAAATAGTGCAGAATAACTAATTCACTTCGTAATAACAAAAGCCATTTTAAGAACAAAAGGTTAGCATTACAGCCCATCACCTCTCGGTCTGAGACTAGCTTCACAGAGGATCTTAAACGTTGCGTTGTATCGTCAAATTGCCAGGTGCTAGGCTTTCGGTGGAAGTCACAACCCTGAATTAAGCAGTAGGCTCCCTTTTCCGTGCATGAGAACTGGCATCTTAGATTCACAAGAGCCAACACGCTGCACAGAGCACTGCCTACACAGCATGTTCACCTGTCATCGCCATTTCCTATACCCACCTGTACCTGAGATAGACAGGAAATGCTATTTTATGACTATACCAGAATAAACCAGGACTTCCCCGTGAGCTGCGTTCCCAGCTCCCTAGCATTACCAGACAAGCGTCTGTACAAGACCACACCTGGTACCAGAAATGAATGTACTTTTTTTTTTACTTAACTAGCCTTTGGTGTTTAGGTACTAAAAGATTAAATGGATATTCTATCAATGGCAGTGGTACTTACATGTTGGAATTTAGTGCCTGAATCCCCTCTGTAACTGGAGTCCCAACGTTTGGGAATAACAATCATTTATCACAGGTGAAGTAAAATTTCAGGGAGTTCTTATAAGAATTTCAAGTTAATGAGGAGAATGTACCAAAAATCAGCATTAAAACAGGAATATAGTCTTAAAGTTTACTATAGTCCCACTGTTGCCTGGTAACAACTTCAGCCTGATATTTCAGCAATATTATCTCTTGGAACATTGCTTTCTGAAAGCAAAAAAGAAATTACCATATTATTCATTGAACAAGATACCCCTGTATTTTTCCCTTTCACACACAGCAAACATTGACGGAATGACAAAGATTTACTGTAGTGCAATATAAAGTAATTATTATTACAATATTTACAATATTAAAATATTACAATATTACATGGTAGGTAAGCTATTAAATATTGTAGCAGAATCCACCTATATTTAAAATTATTTTCTACTTGATTTTAATGAAATTAAGCCAGTATTGATTATGTTCATTTACCCCAGAAGAGTCATAGAAATTAGTGGAAAACAAAATGAAGGGCTTTAAGATTATCTGTGAAGAGTTTAGTCGTCTTGGTCTTCAGAGAACAGTTAGTTACCTGTTCTGCTCAAAAAAACCCCGCATTTAGGCAGTGCACCTGAAATTGCTAAAGAATCATAGAATGGGTTGGAAGGGACCTTCAGAGATCATCTAGTCCAACCCACCTGCCTTGGGCAAGGGCATTTTTCACTAGGTCGGGTTGCTCAAAGCTCCGTCCACCCTGACCTTGAACACTTCCAAGGATGGGGCATCTACAACTTCTCTGGGCAACCTGGTCCAGTGTATCACTACCCTCATTGTAAAAAATTTCTTCCTTGTGTCCAATCTAAATGTACCCTCTTTCAGTTTAAAAGCATTGCCCTTTATTCTGTCACTACAGGCCTTGCTAAAAAGTCTCTCTCTGTCCTTCTTATAAGCCCCCTTTAAGTACTGAAAGGCCGCAATAAGGTCTACCCAGAGCCTCCTCTTCTCCAGGCTAAACAACCCCAACTCCCTCAGCCTTTCTTTATAAGAGAGGTGTTCCAGCCCTTGGACCATTTTATTGGCCCTCCTCTGGACCTGCCCTAACAGGTCCATGTCTGTCTTGTACTGGGGACCCCAGAGCTGGACGCAGTACTCCAGGTGAGGTCTCACGAGAGCCGAGTAGAGGGAGAGAATCATCTCCCTCAAAATGCTGGCCGTGCTTCTTTCAATGCAGCCAAGGATACACTTGGCTTTCTGGGCTGCAGGCGCACATTGTCAGCTCGTGTCCAGCTTTTCCTCCACCAGTACCCCCAAGTCCTTCTCGGCAGGGCTGCTCTCAATCCCTTCATCCCCCAGCCTGCATTGAGGTTGGAGTTTGCCCTGACCCAGGTGCAGGACCTTGCACTTGGCCTTGTTGAACCTCATGAGGTTCACATGGGACCTGAATATGTCTGAATATGTCTGAATATGTCTAAAGGCCCTGAATAGTATGAATATGTCTAAATACATTCAAGTATCAGAATTTTGCAGTTTTCTGTAATTTTTTGCAGTAATTCAAACAAGGAATATGAACTGACAGTATTCATTGTTCTCATGGTATGGGAGCAAATAGTGCTGTGCCCGTGTCTGGTAAGACTGGAAGGCAAAGGGATTAGATTCTCTTTCCTGTTGGTTTGTACAGAGAAAAACAGTACATTGTTCCATGTAATGAATAAAGCATTTCCCTTCAGCTGGGGTAACTGTCAAATGCCTGTTGTATTTTGCTCTCACTTGCTGTTACTGGCTCATTTAGGGGACTGATGAGATGAGCTGTACCTGACCTGGTTACAACACTCCATATTCACTGCTCATGTTGTTGGGAGGTCTTTGATATTGGAAGACACTGCAGTGCAGATTTACATATGGTTCCATAGGCCTGGGAGTAACTGCCCATTGATGCTTTTGGATCACCAGCAGCTCCCATATTTGCAGTAATCTGGAACATCTTTTTACTGGACTTCGGAAGGGGATGAACATCTTTGCTGTGAAACTGAGTACTTCTTGGATTCTGTGCGAGAAAGAAAAGCCAAGATAGTTAGTAACCTGTAATCAGCTTTTTAAAATACAAACAAGGAACACAGATTTTGCTTCAGCTGAGGAGTAGGACAGATCATGAATGTTACCTGAGTAATAAACAAAACAGACTGTTTTATAAAATCAAGACTAGGATGGTCAGAATGATGTGAGGGAGAAGGGCTTAAGTATAGGTATATCAAGAATGAGCTAGTGGCACTGGAGCAAGATACACAAACTAATCCTGCAATGGAGCAAAAGTCCAAAGGCCTTTTTGGCTAGTATCTTGTTTTCAACAGTAGTGAATGCTTTAAATATATGTACAAAAGACAGATCATCATCATCATTCCCCAGTATATCCTTCTGGCTTCTGCCAATCAAATGGCTTGGTGACTTTCTGAGTTGGAAGCTGCATACGTTTATCAGCCCCTGTGGGGAAAAGTTAGTAATACATTAATACATTACAATACATAATACATTATAATACATTTGAATCTGCAGTTCAAGAGGAGAGCTATTTCACTGCAGCTTATGCTTTGTGAACCTCTGTAGTTAACTGAAAGGCAAGAGTTTCCACTCACTATTGGGGCACTGGCTGCTGTCACCCCAGCCATTATAGGAGTCTTTCCTGGTCAAATGGCTGAGAACAAGAGTTTCATGAGCCTGACAGGATATTGAAAATGAATGCAGACTGAATGCAGAGCAAACTGGAATGTCAGAACTTTTCAGCTCCAGCTGAGGCTGAATGAGAAAGATGGAAAAGTCAACATTCTCAAGTTAACATTCTTAACATAAGATCAGCCGCAATGCTGATGACCCTCTACAACAATGACCTGTCTCTGACACTAGTCAGTATTAACCTCTCAGGGAACAAATATAAAGCACAGGGCAGGTGTAGGGTGATCTTCTCCCTGTTATGCCCTTCCAGTAACAGAAAGTTGGTCACAATTACATAAAGATTCTTCAAAATGCATTGTTCGTACATACATCTGCAAATGCAGCAATCTGCACAATCTCATATTGTGAAATAAATGGTTCCACACTTGCTCCACACTCGTGCAATAAATGGTTCCTCTCATTCTCAAAACATTTTGAATGGGATTCCAAAGCAGGGGGACTGAAAGATGGGTTGCAAGTGTGCATGTGGACATACTTGGAAGTCACTGGCAATCATGTTTCCTTTCAGCAGTTATTCATATGTATTTTCATATCACAACAATAAGAAGAGATCCAGTAGGAACAAGCTTGACTCTTAACAGTGTCTGCAGCTTGTTTCTAGCTTGAAATGGTTCAAATCATTCAGAGCTGTGTTTAAAGAAATAATTTGCTTTACAGTAGATGTGATATTGCATGCTGACACAAAGCAGGTGATCCCACCCAATTCATCATTGATAGTGGTGTCTGTCAGAAGTCCCTTCACACAACTGTGCTCAGCACACATTTTGAATGGTTTGGAGCTCCAGCACATAGACACTCAAGTATTCTTCTGTGGGGATGTGAGAAAGTCCGACAACAAACAAGTCAATCTTTAGTGTCACAAAAAAGGTAATCTGTGGTGCCTCCTTCCATATTCTTCCTCTGCCATAAGCTTCCTCTTATCACCTTGTGTTGGCTAGACTCTTCTTGAGCTAGTCAGCAGAAAACTAGCTCAGGAAAAAGAAAAAGCAGGGGCAAGGAGGTCATTTAAGAACACAATGAGGATAAGAACTTTTACAGGGAAGCGTGGCCAAGAACAGGGAAGAGGGAGGAGCAGAGAGGACAGGCCAGGACTGGAACCTTCACTGTTCAGCAATAGCAATCCATTAGGTTGATTCCAGTGCGTATTCTCCAGCTAAGTTTGGAATACCCAACAGTCTCAATTTTGTTAAAAAAGAATTTGCTACCTACACACTTTGGACAGGACAAGCCATCACTGAAGATAATGTAAAAGCAACTGATCTGTGATTCTCAAAGTCAAAGGGAGTTTGTGGTGCTGCTGATAATCTGAACAATGTGATAATCTGAAATGGTGTTCAAATCCTCGCTTGTCTGAAGTGAGAAAATTGAAAGTAGAATGGAGTCCAAAATTAGCCTGTCCTCTAGAAAAAGGGCAATGGAAAAAAAGTCATGTATCTCAGCACATCTCAAAAGACATTGCTTTAAAAGCTCAAGATGCAAAAAAAAAGTAGAGGCAGAGAATCTGCAGAGATATTTCCACTTTTCTTTTTGATTACAGTTAGCTGACATATATGATCCATTACAATTAATCTTTGTGAAAAAAAAAAACCTGCTAATGAGGCAGAGACCTAGATTTACAAAAGGGCTGTGTTACTTCATGTTCTCTGAAGTACCTAATTCCCATACTTAAATTCAACAGTCATTCACAGAACTCCTGCATAAACCTATAGGCACCAAAATACTCTTGCTGCTCAAGTCAGAGGTGATAGGGTTTTTTGAAAGACTGGGGTTACACTTAAAACTCCAGGAGAAAGTTAGTGTTTATAAACCCAGACTAGCTGAAGAGCAGCATTACATATGCTAGAGATGTAAGCTTTAAGCCACATCTGTGCCCTTGGCATTTCCTAGTGATTACTATAGATAGTCTTCCTCTCAACACTCTGCCTCATGCACAGAACTTAACTCAGGGTCATAAACCTCATTAGTAGACCACCTGAAATGTAGGTATGGCAAAACTGAAGACTGCAATATGCAAGCTCCTACATGAAACTACCCCATATTAGAGGCAATTTATGTCTAGTTATTTCCCCCACTAGCAGAAACTCTTCGGTTAGCACGCTCTTCAGCTCTCTAGTAAAGGGAACATACTCTATATAAGGCCAACCGCCTTATCAAACTAGGTTACTGGTATCATTTGACTGACACTACATACAAGCAACAAAATTGCAGGGTACATCTTTGTCATAAGTAATTTTAACTGATAAAAATTTATTAATTTCGTCACTCACAGAGCAGTATGTCTTGCCTCTTTAAGGCGAGTTCCTTTAAGTATCTTTACAAAGTTGCAAATTAAGATATTTTGTGTCTATATCATTTTGGTCCACAAAAAATTAAGGTGGTTTTTTTTTGGTAGGACTGCTACTCACATTATAAAGGTTCTGTACACTTGCAGGAGGTAGCTGAGCATTTGCATTTGCCCATGTGATTTGTCTCCCCAGTTTCCTATTGTTGGAGATTCTGACCTGTTGAGAAGGTGGTGCAGAACAGTTCCTGACCACAGCACCAGAATTTGCATTACCTGCAGTAGAAAAAACATGAGAGAAAGTAGGAAAATCATGAGGGGCCAGAACACACTGATTGAGGCAGGGACAGAACTTAAAAACTGAGTCAGACTCTGCCACCTCACTTCATCTCAAACAGACATCTCAAAAATATTCAGAATAAAATTAGAATGTAGTAGCAAACAAAACCAGTTCAAAAGGGCATGGGAAAAGATAACAGCAGTAGAGAAGCAAAGGGAAAACAGAAAGGAACATACAGTCAAGACTGAGGCAGGGAAGAGCCAAGGAGAATGTCGTACACTCAAAACTCATTCAACAGTGTTTTGTTCTTATGTCATTTTCTTCCCACACTTTCACTCTCTCATTTTGCCATGTAAATTCCCCTCATTTCTTTTTCCCCACTCAATCTCTTTTCTTCTTTTTTCCCCATAATAACGCCTCATGGTGGATTACATCCCACTGTAGGAGGGTAGTACCTACTTTGAACAGCAATGTGTGTTATGGGATTGTATATCACATTGATCTTTGATCTTTGACATAAAGTTCTTGCTAAATCTTCACTCCGGCTGGATACTTCTGTCTGGACGCTAGTTGTAGTTCCAGCATGCGCATGCAAAGTTTTTAGAAGAGGCGGTGTTGGTTCTCTCTGGCCTTTCCTGGTAGGTAAAGTCACAGAACTGGAATTTGGAAGAAGTGGCCTGGATTCAGACTGTCTTAGTTGAGCGTTTTCTCTCCCCACTTGCTCCTTTGGATGGCTATTTAGTTTCTTTTCAAGGATCATCTACAGAAAGGAGAAGTTGGTTAGACTTAACACAGCTACACAACAGAGCAGAGGAACAAAACATAAAAACAAAGTGAAAGACTTGCAAATAACTGCAATTTATTTCACAGGATAGGTAACAAGTATAATTTTAAAATTAATTTAGGGTTGGAAAGAAGATAGAAATAATATTCTCAGTGGAAAGAAAGAATAGGCTGAAGCATTAAGAAAAAGAATTGGGTGAACAGGCAATTTCAATACATCCTGAGGGAGAACATCACAAAATAAAATGGGCATTAGCCTTGGAAAAGACAGAATCTATATGCCCAAAAGGTTAACACTATGTTATTTCTTACCATCCCTTTCTAGAACTTTGCAAAGCCGATCTTTTAATGGTCAAAGCAACATTCATTCTGGTTAGTTCAAAATTATTTCTCACCTACCTCTACATGCTATTACCTAGCAACAGAATCCTTGCCAAGGTTTTGGGTCTTGGTGCAGACAATCTGCTCTCAACTTCCTGCACCACCACACATAGTCGTCCCAAATTTGACACCCTATCAGTAAGATTATTCAAAACTATTCACTTGTTTCTTAGCCTTGTACCCAGATTATCTGTGACCAATCTATTGACATTTAGAATACCTTTTCTACCAGTGCTCAGTATTCACTTTACTAATTCATCTGCTCATGACTCCTAACATTCTATCACGGTAGAGTTTATTAGTTTCCTTCTATTGAAGGCCTTAAAAGAAATTTTAAGTAGGTTCAACTTTTTAAATTCTATCTGATTTTTTCTTTCTTCAATTTTAATTGCTGTTAATAGAAGCAATAACTATTTTCCTCTCTCTTTGGGAAGGTGGCCACCCTTATCAGTCTTCCTCAGTGTTGTATTTTCTGATCACTAAGCTTCCTTTTCAGTCTTCTCTTCCCACTGTCATTCTTTCCAATGCCTGTTTTACTACATTTACATCCCAACTCCTGCTCTTCTCACCATCTTCCAGTTCCTTTGCCTCATAACATGGCATTTACGTAATTTTTTTCACTGTAAAAAGGGAAAAAAAAAACCCCAAACTAAGCCAAAACCAATTTCTCCTCCTGAAGGCTTGATTTACTTCCACTTTTCCTGCTCCTCATATTTCATTGTTAGAGCATTCACTCCAGCTATCCTCCCCCTACCGCCTCAACACCACCATCCAGATCAGTTAAGTGTCTCTCATAATTAGTTCTGATTTGTGTTTATCTTTGTTCTTCTTTCACTTCTTCAGACATTACTCAAATTTTCATAAAAACATAGAATGGTTTGGGTTGGAAGGGACCTTCAGAGATCATCTAGTCCAACCCACCTGCCTTGGGCAAGGGCATTTTTCACTAGGTCGGGTTGCTCAAAGCTCCGTCCACCCTGACCTTGAACACTTCCAAGGATGGGGCATCTACAACTTCTCTGGGCAACCTGGTCCAGTGTATCACCACCCTCATTGTAAAAAATTTCTTCCTTGTGTCCAATCTAAATGTACCCTCTTTCAGTTTAAAAGCATTGCCCTTTATTCTGTCACTACAGGCCTTGCTAAAAAGTCTCTCTCTGTCCTTCGTATAAGCCCCCTTTAAGTACTGAAAGGCCGCAATAAGGTCTACCCAGAGCCTCCTCTTCTCCAGGCTAAACAACCCCAACTCTCTCAGCCTTTCTTTATAAGAGAGGTGTTCCAGCCCTTGGACCATTTTATTGGCCCTCCTCTGGACCTGCCCTAACAGGTCCATGTCTGTCTTGTACTGGGGACCCCAGAGCTGGACGCAGTACTCCAGGTGAGGTCTCACGAGAGCCAAGTAGAGGGGGAGAATCACCTCCCTCAAAATGCTGGCCATGCTTCTTTTGATGGCTTTCTGGGCTGCAGGTGCACATTGTTGGCTTATGTCCAGCTGTTCCTCCACCAGTACCCCCAAGTCCTTCTCGGCAGGGCTGCTCTCAATCCCTTCATCCCCCAGCCTGTATTGAGGTTGGAGTTTGCCCCGACCCAGGTGCAGGACCTTGCACTTGGCCTTTTTGAACCTCATGAGGTTCACATGGGCCCACTCCTCGAGCTTGTCCAGGTCCCTCTGAATGGCATCCCTTCCCTCAGGTGTGTCAACTGCACCACTCAGCTTGGTGTCACCTGCAAATTTGCCGAGGGTGTGCTCAATCCCACTGTCTACAAAAAAAGTGCAGCTTTTTATTTTCCTTTTGATCTTATTGCATATATCAAATGGCATCAAAAGTACTATCTTTCCTTTTCCCTGTACAACTAAAGATTTTGCATCAGCTTTTTTTAATTTATTTGCTTTTATTGCACCATTTCCTGATTTTTCAAGTACTACTATTTCCCGACGTTAATGCATGCAAAATATGGCTCCTAAAACATCACTGTGCTTTGTTATTAGTACATCAGCTACACTGATCCTTCACTCGTTCTTCCTCCTCTGTCAATTAATTATTCTGAAATCTGATAGTTCTGTGTATGTGGTGCAACATGCAATGGCACTTGACTATGCTCCAGCAAAAAACCTGTGGTAACAGCTTGCCTGCACACCCACAGTGGAGCTCAGAAAGATAATGGCAGGATGGGGAGCCCAAATAATACTCTGCCAAGCTACTCCCTGGCCTATTCACAGAAGCCATCAGCCCATCAAAAGCCCATCTGCACAGGCTGAGAGGAGCACAGGGATGCACTATGGCAGGTGGGAACCCAAATCAAGGGCTTCTCAACACCTTGTCTGGGCCCCTGCCAGGGCTGTCCCAGCAAAGCCATCAGCACCATTGTCCAGGCATGAAACTCATCGCAGTGAGTCATCAGTATTCCTCTGGATCACCTTTTGGATGGCTATTTAATTTTTTTTCAAGGTCCATGGTGCCAGCAATTGAAGAGAGTGCAGGTGTGCGAGTGATTGCTAGCAAAGATCAAGTCAGACTAGTTGGTGAACAGATCAAGTGGCCTGGGAGCAAGGGGGTGAGTTGGTCTCTAAGGGCCAGCCCTGGGTGTGAGAGCACCTGTGTGTCTCTAGGGGTGAGAACACTGGGGGCCTGGAGGAGGTCGGCTAAGGGACCTGGAAAATCCTGACCAGCTGTTTGTCTGCAAGGTCTGTACCAGCAACTGGAGTAGGGCTGCAGCCCTGGGGGGTTGTATATCCAAGTGCCAGCAGCTGAGGAGACTGGGATCCAGGGGCCAGTTACTGAGCAGACTGAGTGTCTGAGACCAGCTGCTGCAGGGATCCACCTTGTACATATGTATATATATTCTCACGAGTGGATTTCCATCTTGCTCAGCCAGAGAAGGGAGCAGGATGAGGCTGTTGGTGCTGTCTATGTTTGTGTGAGTGCTCCGAGTGCCTGTTTGTGATCCATGTGGCCAGCCATGTATATATGTAGTGTGTATGCGTTTTCTGTGGGAGTGTGCCTACTGAGAACACATCTTCAGCCTTGCTACTGGCTGACCTGGGGACATGGAGTGGCAGCAGCCTCGCCTCTCTTGGACTGTTGGATCCAGCATAATATATTTTCCTCTAACACAGTCTTTCTCAGACATCATGCTTTACAGACTTTTCCAAGTGGGAATCCACATTTAAAGACCTCTCAAAAATTACAAGAGTGTGGAACTGACTGATAAGAAATACCAAGATGTAACTGTAAGCATGTATGGAAAGCCTAGGGGAATGCAAATAGACGAAAATGACAGAATTCATTAAGTGTGTGCAAGAATGGCAGGTTACCTGGAGGATTAGAATTTCAGAAAATAGGATAAGAGAAAGTACCTCATATAATTTATTTCGATATTCTGCCACAGATAGTTGGATATCATCACCTAAAGGAAGAATCACATCATAATCCAGAGAAGGCTCCCTGGCAGGACAGTGAAACCTAAGAAGATGATAACACATAATGTAATTCACTAAGACTAAAAACAGCACCACAGGTTAATATAATGTTAAAAAGGATTGTTAAATCATCTAGTGTGACCTCTACTGTAAATAGAATTAGAGAAAATTAAGAATTAGCTTTGTCTTTTTTTTTTTCTATCATGCATATAAAGAAAATTTGTGCCAAGGGCAGGTCTATAACATCTCAGAAGACATCAGGGGAAACTGCACATTGGTATTACTCTCACCTTTTCACATAAGGATGCTGCAGAGCCTCCTCTGCTGTGAGTCGTTTATCAGGGTTAAATACTAAAAGTTTCTTCAGAAGATCCAAGGCAGGCAATGGAGTAGAGGATGGTAAAATCTCCTCAAATGTTACTCGCTGCCTAGAAGTCAGAAAACAATGATATAAGCTCCCAGTGTCTAATTCACAGTGAAGGCATGAATTAGAGTTCTGGAAATCACATCAAGGTGACACCTGATTCCAGAGTTTGCTCACAAATAGTGTGTCATAATCCTGGAACACTCTAAAGGATAGGCCTGTGAGTACGGTAAAGTCTTTTACCCCTTTGATTAGGTTTGAATGCCTCCCTCCTAGTGCTAGGAATCTACACGAAGTGCCTAACTTGCAAGTCTAGTCTTTCTCTTGTTTCAGTGGAAATAGGGAGAGATATCGGACAGTATCAGACACAGGGGAATAACGAGTCCTCTGGACAAAGAGTCCTTCTTTTGTTCTTTTGACAATGCAGGAAGCCCGAACTCCTAACTTGGATGTTTCAGTTGAACTGTTAAAGATCCCATGAATCCAGCCCTTAGACCACAGAAATATATTTCTGTATAATTTGCATTGAGAAGATTAAGTTTAAAAATCTGATTTTGCATTTCGAAATCCTAAAGACAATTATTAACACAATGAACATGAGAATATCTAATCCATTTTAAAAATCAGCTTTAAAACATGATTTTTACTCATATTTTAAAAAATTTTGTTACTCCATGACAACATTCTTTTAGTTTAGAAAAATGATCCATCAGTGAACATAGTATTTGGACTAAGTGGCTCAGAAAAAATCTTTTCCGTTTTGAAGACTAAGATTTCACTGGCTCTTTTACCTAGCTGGAGCCATCTATCAGAACTTAGCCACGCAACTTTCACATTTTTTGGGTTAAAAGAAAAAAAAAAAAAAGAAGATAACACCCGAAGAGTAGGGCTGTCAAATAAAAGTGCATTTCAGCCAGGAATGAATGGAGAGTTCCAATTGCTGTCTTTCACTACTCAGAGAAGGGTTACAGAAATGAGAGCGCTATTCTCAGAGGTGCTGTGGTAGGTTGACCCCGGCTAGCAGCTAAGCCCCCACTCGCAGCTACACCAAAAGCCCACTGGTACCCTTTTTGGTCCCTGAAGTAGCCTATCCTGATGTAGTCCATGCCGAGGATGCACAGAGCCTCCAAGTCAGTCACAGTAGGATGCTTTTGCCACTTATTGCTTGTTAGAGTCACTTCAGCGTCCAACACAGATAACTGTTGGGATTATCCTGTTGCTCCAGAAATCCAGGTGGGTTCTGTCCCGTTTGTATCCTGACGGCATTAGGGTCACTGAGCACTGGTGTCCAGCAGAGCCTTATACTCCTGTGGGTCCAATGTGCCAGACTATTGAATCCATACAGTCCAACAAACCCAGTTATGCCTTTCCTCTGCCTGGCTGGAGGCATGGCCCCTCTATTCCTCATTACCCGACTCCTGTAATTACAAACCAGGATCAGAAGTACGATCAGTCCTTCCACTGTGTCTGGGGAATTGCTCAACAGCAACTGGAGTAGTCATCTTCCTGAATGGACCCTTTTTGGCTGCTGTTTTTCCTTGCAATTCACATACACAAGCTTCTAGGCTTGAGATAGATGCACCGTCCCACGTCCTTCCCATGGTCATGCAGATAGAACCAAAGGGTGGCATGCACGGTTCCCTTTCCTTTGAGCAGAGAAAGGCTAACTCCATGTGACACTCTTGATAGCTAAGACACCAACCTGTATGGGTGAGGAGGAAAACATACTCTCTTTGAATTTGCTGGAAATTTTGGGACAGTTTTTCCTACAGCTGAGACACAGGACCATAGGGTTTGGGAGGTGGAGAGATTCTCTTTGCATTGCCAGAGCTGGCCAGCCAGTCTGTCCACAGTTGGTGCCTCAATGTCTGTACAATTATTGTCAGGGTGCTGACATACAGTGTTGGTGTGCTCTGTACAAACTTTTGACCATGTGCACTAGACTTCACGTGGATCTATGGAGCCCTGGTTATTGCCCAGGTTGCTGTAGATCACTTCCACCACCAATTCCCTAATGCTTGATATCTCCCTCAATGGTGGTCCACTTGCCTCAGTAGTTTACAAGATCTTCCTTGAGAGGATACCTTGCCTTCACGCTTGACAGAAGTTATCTCCAGAAGCTGCAGATTGTTGCCCCTCTTCCAATCCCTTCATCGGTTTCCCGGTCCTTACTGAGAGATCCCGGTTGCTGGCTTTCTTACCCTCTAATTCCTGACTCAGCCCCAGTATCCTAAGCATCAGAGCAACCAGGTGATAATTTGCTCACCTAGATGACAGCTGTAATTTTTCCATGTATCTTGCGGCTCGTTCAGAGATAGGGACTGTGTGGTTTCTGCACTCATTCATGACTTCTGTCTCTTCCCCCTCTTGTTCTTGTGGCTGCTCCACTGCCGAACAGGCTGCCTTTTCTGATTCTTCCTCCTGCTCCCTCTTAGAAGCTTCTTCCTCCCTTACTAACCAAGTTGAGTTCCTCTTCCATTGTTTAGGAGCAACTGTTTTCGTCGAGGGTTGGGTCTCTGACTTAGCCACAGTGTCCATTTTCATGCCCTCAGATCCAGAGACCCTTTCACGCCGCTGAGGTCGGTGTAGGCCAGGCCCCAGCGCAGTGTGAGAAGTTGGCATAGACAAGGCATCCTTTCTTCAAGTGTTTTGTCACTTCAACAGGATGCCGTGCTTGTTTGGGTGTGAAGTCTCACATCATTGAACATGAAAATTGCTCTACGTCCCTGCCCAAATTCTCCTATGCAACTTGTGACCTATGACCTGACCACCTCAGGACATATCCCTGTGTGGCATTCACAAATAGTTGGTTATCCTTAGGAAAAGCCAGAATCAGATTCTTCACATATACCAATATGAGCATTCTAGTTACCCAAGGATGTTCAAGAAACTGAAGAGCTGTTGTAATAAGGCAGAAAAAAATCTACCCCAGGAGAGAGGAAGGGGGAGGTACCATTCTTCATTTCCTGTATAAATTGGCTCTTGGATGAGAAAAGGAAAATTTCTTAATTGTCTCCACAAGACGGTTCCCAAAGTACTGGGACAGAATCAATGCAGCGCCTAAATACCAGATTAGGCTCAAGGCCAGTGCTTTTGTCATAACTCTCCCAGGCAAAACACAAAAAAGTGCTAAACAGCACAGCAAACTGCAAAAGCTGAAAGCACCCACCAACAAGTCCTCAAATTTGATATACAGCAAGAGGGGGAGCATGCCATGCACCAGGTAAAGGAACAAATAAACCAGTGTAGAGAACAAATATATCAATATTATGACCAACAACAGCTAAACAGGTGTAACTACTATAAATTCCTGTCTAGTACACTCCAATCAAATCTATTGTCAAACCACTCTGGCCCCATGTTGGGCTCCAAAAAGGACTCTGTCTGGTTGACAGCGGCTGACAGCTAAGACCCCATCCAGTTACTCACTCTCTTCCCCTCAGCAGGATAGGGGAGAGAATCGGAAGGGCAAAAGCAAGAAAGCTTCATGGGTCGAGATAAAGATAGTTCAATAAGTGGAGGGGGGGGGGGGGGAAGGGAAAAATGGGAAAAAAACCAACAAGTTGTGCAAAAGCAATCACTTACCACCAGCAGACCGATACTCGGCCAGTGTCCAAGCAACAGCTACTTTGGAGAAATTCCTCCCCACCCATTTTATCGCTGAGCATGACACTATATTGTATGGAATATCTCTTTGGTCAGAAGGGTCAGCTGTCCCAGCTGCGTCCCCTCCCAGTCTCTCGCCAACCCTTAGCCTACTCGTTGTGGGGGCAGAGTGAGAAACAGATGGCCTTGATGGCTGCTGTGCAAGCATTGTTAAGCAACAGCTGAAACACTGCTGTGTTGTCAACACTGTTCTGGTCACAAATATAAAACACAGCAGCATATGAGCTGCTATGAAGTAAATTAACTTCATTCCAACCAAACCCAGTACAGGTACACAGCAAAAGGATGAGAAGCAACATTCACAAATTGCATCAAGGGAAATTCCTATGGGATACTGTGGCCATCCACTTCCCCCTGACAAGGTCAAACACACATGCCATGCTGACAGCTGAATCAGCCCTAAACTACCTGGCTGCTGTGCTTTAACCCGTCAGGCAGCCAAACACCACACAGCCACTCGCTCACTCCCCTCCACAGAGTGGGATGGGGGAGAGAATCGAAGGGAAAAAAAAAAGTAAAATTTGTGGCTTCAGATAAAAACAGTTTAATAGAACAGAAAAGGAGGGGAAAAAAAAAAATGATAAAAGAATATACAAAATGAGTGATGCACAATGCAACTGCTCACCACCCGCTGACCAATGCCCAGCCAGTTCCTGAGCAGCAGTCACTGCCCCCCGGCCAACTCCAGCTTATATACTGAGCATGATGTCATACACTATGGAATATCCCGTTGGCCAGTTTGGGTCAGCTGTCCTGGCTGTACCCCTTCCCAGCTTCTTGTGCACCTGGCAGAGCATGGGAAGCTGAAAAGTCCTTGATTAGCGTAAGCACTACTTAACAACAACCAAAACATCAGTGTGTTATCAACATTCTTCTCATACTAAATTAAAAACACAGCACTATACCAGCTACTAGGAAGAAAATTAACTCTATCCCAGCCGAAACCAGGACACTGGCATAGATTGATACAGGAATCCTGGCATTCCTTTAAAGGGAATAATGCTCCAGGATGCCAACTGAAGAAGTCAACAAAAGTCAGGATGAAAACACATATGCTGTTCATGTGAACAGCAAGGGACCTGCTAGAGCTTATGGTTTGAGCCACCCTAACCTAAATCTATAAAAACACATCAGTAAGCATTGAGAGAACTCATACCACACATAGCCGGGCTATGCATATTGCAGACTCCCCGATGAGAAGGGATGCCCACTAGTATCATGACAGATACGAGTAGTGAATACTTAGAGACTGGTAAGTAATTTGCTATGGCCATAAGATAGTGTAAGAGCATTAAGTTTACTAATGTTTACTAATTAGGTATATAATAAATGCAGAATTATGTGGTAGTCTGTGTACATAACTGGAGGATCCAAAAGAACCATTACAGACACAAGGAAAAAAAACTTTTAAAAAGTCACAGTGAGAGTCGTTAAACAGCTGGAATGAGGCTGTCAGCCTGAATAGATTCAGGCTTTCCAGGTGTGAACCAATGACATCAGATACCCAAATGACTCAGGATAGGAAAATATTCTAATTTTGAGAATGTACACATGACAATAGCTGGCAATGTAGGTCCAACCTCATTTTGTTTTGTTATTCCCAGATTAAGTCATTAGTCTTCTCATCTTTTTTTTTTTTTTTTCCCCAAATTTTACATCCCTTCCCTAGAGGTAGGTGAATCCGCAAAGAGCAGAAATAATTTCAACTGGTGAACACTGGAACTTTAGGGGAACTTTTTGTCAACATCATACAGTAGACTGTTGAATTCTGAGACACATTGAACATACAAAGCTTACCGGGAACACATGCGGTTAATAACTGAGGCCCTGTAATCTGATTGCATAGCCAAAATATCTGCAATAATGAAAAGATACTGTTAATGCCAAGATTAGGATTACCGGAGCTACACAATTTATGAAGGAAAGCAAATATTTGGTATTAACACAGGAAATTATCCTAATAAAACTCAATGGGAGATCTTACGGAAAGGGGATGGAATATTTACTCACAAATTTTCTAAGCTGCTTTTCTCAATTCCTATTCATTCTATGATAGATTTCATAAACTTGCACTCTTATACCCACATACGCAGAAGCACCAACATATCTGACACCAAATGATCTGGCCAGGATCACTTGTGTGGGACACAGAGAACAAGGGATACCAGCTATTGATTTCCTCATCACATCCGCTGGGGTTCTTTTGATTGGTGACGATGAACTGTTTTCTGAACATATCTGTCATATTCTCAGAGTCAACAGTTGCTATGGAATATTTTTTTGCTTCAGAATCTTGCTTCTTTGGTCCCCGTAAATCCTAGGCAAAGTTGCTCACAGGTTGGTTTTCCTTGTTTGCAGTAATGTTTTGAACAAGTGTCTCTTTTCACTTGTTTGCCTAATGAAAAAGAAATTGTGCCTGTGATATGCTGCAACCTTGCAGCCATTGTCCTGTGGTAAGGGTACAGGGCCTTCTGCTAATGAGTCATTTGTGCTGTGGTCTTGTCTTAGAGTACAGACCTTCTGGTTATGACATTATCAACACACTCCTCAACTGTATTGTTGAGAATGGAATAGCATTTTTTGTTATTAGTGCTGGCTATTATTCTAACTCCTGTTTTGGTGTTTTCACACACACATTTCCATTCATATTTCATTCACAGCAACCAAATCTCTAATAAAAACTATAAATAACTTTAAGCTTGAATGGAATTCTCCAAAACTGTGATGTCCTTAAACTGAAGGAAGTTATTTTACTAAATCCTATTTGCCAGCTCAGTTAGAATATATCAACATGTTGTAAAAGTTTATAAAGTGTATGGGCTGTTAGACTGGAACTCATAGAAGAAATCATAATAATAATAATCCCTTTTGGATTTAACATATATTTACTCTAGCTTTCACTTCTCTGTTTAGATTTCCAGACCGAAAAGTTCAATTTACCTTTACTATGCAAGTCCCACTGAAGTACAATACTCTGTTTTAAACTGTTATCCTCTTATAAATCTCAAAAATGTTTTGAAGGCCTGGTTCTTGTTTCTCATCTAATCAAGTATGGGCTTATTTTCCTCTAAGACTAACATTTCACAATTAAGTCTTTCATTTCCTTGGAAAGATGTCAGAACAACTCACAAGAGACACCTTCTTCCCTGATCCAGCTGGCTGCTTTCTTTCTCTAAATACCTTTCCCCATAGAAAAGTCCTACCTTCTGGGGATTTTTTTTTAATGACCCTCAAGATCTGCTCTATTTGATTCACCGTTGATGTTCCAGGAAAAAGAGGTTTCCCAAGTAGCAGCTCTCCCAGAATACAGCCAATGCTCCACATGTCTACACCTTTAGTGTAACTACAAATAAGAATAGAACAGAATCAAGCAGATATTTTTCTGTACCTGGTATTCACATCATCTACGTTAGCTTATTTTGCTAGAAAAACAAGCTTGATGACTCTTTGAATACGAATGCTCACAGGTTTTAACTATAAAGTGAATGAGATTTGGGAATCATGAAACTGGCAAGCATAAAACAGCAAGGAGATTTATCCTACTAAAAGTCTATTCTAGGAAACCATAAAAGGAAATATATTGAAGGTAAATGCCAGGACAAGGTAATATATACTTTTCATATGACCAACAGTGGAGATACAAGTTGCTGTTTGGAAACAACTGACTTTTCAGGGCATAATATATCTAGAAAGCAGTTACAATTACTTAAGCAAAGTAAATGCCAAACAATGGGTAAAAACATCCACATTTCAAATTTGGGATGCTAACCCAATCTATATTTATTTTCTACTCTGATCAATAAGATTTTGTATATTTAAGTCAAAAAAAGGACTAAGCCTGACTAACAGGCAGGTGATTTAACATTCGATTACAGAATATTTTCTGAAGGTCTATCAAAAAACTCTGATTAAATTTGGAGAAGAGGACTAAGGTACTCAACCAAATTTTGTAAAGATGCAGATTTAAGGGGAGAAAGAATAAGTCTAGTGGGAAAAAGAATGACAAACAGATGAGCCGATAATGTATGTAAATGGACAATCTAAGAAGCCAGGAAGGAAATGTACATGTAATGAGAGATTTTTATGTTGCAGAACTGAAGTTTAAATGCATATTCAGAAAATGCACTGCTGACATGACATTACATCTGGTGACATCTAAAACAAAAAGATTTAAGACTTTTAGACAATAAATTTTCCCAGTGGTGAAGAAAATTACAGAATCCCATCCCTTCGCTCATATTAAGCTGTTACCTCTGAGAGGAAAGTAAGATCTCGGGGGCTCGGTACCAGCGTGTTGCCACATACTCCGTTAGAGCAGGGTTGCCTTGGTCCTCATTCATCTGACATAAAGAACGGGCCAGCCCAAAATCACAAAGTTTAACAAAGCAGTCTGCATCCAGCAAGATATTTGAAGGCTGAATTGAACAAAGGAAAATTCATTAGCTTTTAGCCCCCTGAGCTGGAAGACAGGGGCG